GGGGGAGGCAGTGTAACTACTAAATCTGCTTTGGCTGTTACAGTGTAAGAGTGACTTGTTCATTCTATTTCCAACATTGGACCCTCTTTCTACATTCAGTCCAGCTTGAGGACCCAGCATATGTATGCTCTGAAAGTCGTTCCTATCTGTGTTTCCAGTCAAAAGTCAGTGGAGCTCATTGGTCGCAAAAGAGGCCCGTCCAAAGTCCAGGACCCTGCATGTGGCATCACCATCCAAACCAGCAGAGCTGCCCATGCTGACTCTTCAGAGCTGCGGCCCTGGCCTGATCCAGGTGCCCACCCCTACTCCATGCCCCAGAGTGTGCGGGCCTGCCACCAGCCCCGCTTCCCTGGGGCTCAGGCTGAGGTGAGCTCCAGACTCTGCACTCTCACTGGGTTTGTGGTGGAGGCTCCTAGCCCCAGACAGCCCTGCTCTGGGCTTCCCACAGGCTTCTGTAGACAGGCAAGGGGCAGAGACAGATGTGAACAGGAGGTGCCTCAGGTGTGATCCAACCCACGCTCCGAAGAAGAGACTGGGGATCCTTTACTCTCAGCCAAGCAGAGACAGAGAGAGATTTAATTCAAGAGATTGACTCACGTGATTGTAGAAGCTAGCAAGTCCAAGATCTATAGGTCAGGCAGCAGGCCGAGACTCTTGGAGGCTTGCATCCCAAGTTCTGTAGGGCAGGCAAGGGAAAGAGTGCAGAGAAGAGAGAGAGAGCAAGTTCTGTGGAAGTATGTATTTATAGTCTAGAGGCAGAACACAGCCTAAGGAAACTCACTTTTCAACTGATCAGTTGATTACATTAGATTATATTATGTAAGGTCATTACATTAAATTGCATTATGGAATGTAATTACATTACATGAGACATTATGGAACAGCAACTAGTGTTCGGCCAAACTACTGGATACCGTAGCCTAGCCAAGTTGACACATAATATTAACCACCACACCTCCACTCCCTTTACCTATTTCTTCCCTAAGCCCCAGTCACCACCTGGAAGGGCTGGGTCCTCAGACAGGCAGGGATGCCCCCTCTGAGCCTCATGTTCTGGAGGGAGAAGCTGGTGTGTTGTCTTTGCTTCAAGATGGATCCTGGCTATTGTCTGGGCCCAAGTGAGGGGGCAGAACTGGCTCTGGGAAAACCAAACCAGCTTGAAAGGTGGTGAAGTTTGACTTAAACTTTTCTTTCTGATGTGTGTAACCCTCATTTTCTCTCCTCTCTGCAATGTCTCAGTACGCCCCCATTCAGTTCTGAAGAGGACTCCGAGGGAGACACTGTGCAGCGCGTGTCTCTTCAGTGGCCACAAGCTCCTTCCAGAATGGGGTCCCAGCTGGAGGATGACTGGGACTGGTCTGACACGGAGACCTTGGAGGGAAATGCCCAGCCCCCTGGCAAGGGCTCAGGTGAGCTGGCTTCCTTGGGTGAGTGGACTGTGACCTCTAGGCCCTGCAAACACCCTTCAGTTTTCTTTGGGCTTTCTGATCTGGCATATCTTTCTATTGTGATTTGGAGAGAATGATCCTCCTTGCCATCAGATATAAGGAGCTCTGGTGGCACAGCTGAAAAGTTGGCAGTTAGAGCCTACAAGCTGCTCCATGGAAGAAAGATATGGCAGTCTGCTTCCATAAAGATTATAGCCTTGGAAACCCTATGCGGCAGTTCTATTCTGTCCTATATGGTTGCTGTGAGTTGGAATCAACTTGATGGCAATGTTTTTTTTTTTTTTTTAAACAGGCCATCAGATATTTTCCTGGGATAGCAGAGATACCAGTAGAAAGATAGAATTTGGGTGAGATTTATTTTGTCCCTTGTTTCATCATTGAATTGTTTAATTGTTTGAGGTTGTGGGGAGCCCACTTACCCTTTTCTCCTCCAGGTTCTTAGCAATAGAGAATAAACACTAGGCCAGACCCATGAGATCAAATCCTGGCTCTAGTAATGGTGAAGGGGCCTAGTAATGCATGAGGCATAGGATTCTTGTTAAGGATGGATTGGAGAACAGCCAGCACCTGAAGCTCCGACCTTGCTGTAAACACAGACCATGATCATACTTGTGCTTGGGGCTGGGTTGGCAAAGCAGATCCTGAGTGGGGTTAAACAGGCAGCTGTGTGGAGGATCACAGCTAGCCTCCAAGCCCAGTCACAGGTTTAGGACAAAGGCCAAAGAGAAAAAGAAAGTTGACATTGCATTTTTAAGGCAGCAACCCACTCCCAGGTAAGACATGGCCCAGGGGATGCTGTGGTCCTACCCTCTGGCTGGCTACTTTTCCTGAGTAGGAGAGAGTAAGAAGGTGGGTAGAGAACCTGATAGCGTATCTCTCTTATGTGTGGCCATCTTGGGAGGTAGACCAGATGTTCCCTGGTCTATGGAACCCCAAGGCAAGAGAAAGAAGGGTTTCTTTCTATGTTGTCTCTGAGTTTTGCAAATGGTTAACCCACTAAGCTGCTAACCAAAAGGTCAGCAGTTCTAGTCCACCCACAGGCACCACAAAAGAAAGGCCTGGTGATCTACTTATGAAAAATCAGCCATGGAAAACCCTACAGAGCACAGTTCTTTTTTGACATACATGAGGTTGCCTTGAGTTGGAATCAACTTGATGGCAACTGGTTTGATTTTTTGGTTTTCTGTGTTGTCATTCCTGGGTGCTCAGCAAGCGTGGCACTGAGCAAATCTCTTCACATGTGTCCGTCATTTACTCCTCACCTCCCCCACCACCCGCCGCCATGAGGTAGGGCTGTACTGCTCACATCCTTGTATGTGTAGGAGCTATGCCTTCCAGATGCTCAGTTACTTGTTCAAGATCACAGAACCAGTGTCACAGCACACTGATATTATTCTACATTATGTTTTTGAAGTTAGTGTGTTGGAATCATTTTTATTTTTACTTGTAAAATAAATCTTTTTTCAAAAAAGGCTGCCTTTAGCCATGTTCCTAATTTTAAGAATACGGGCATGGTCTTTTATGCTGCTTAGGTTGATTAGCACCAGATCGAGAGGTCGTGCTCAGCACAGTTAACACTCACCATGTTAAAAACAGCCTCCAGGGTAAACCTAGGTTACAACTTTAAGGGAACACAGTTTGCTACGACGTTTTGACAAATAGAGTTACCTATAACATACATAGTCTAACAAACGTGACTTTTGGTAACAAAAGAATAGTGAGGAGTGGATTTCCCAGCTAGCTTTGAGATATGGAGGGTGACAGCCACAGAAGTTCACAGACTGCCTAAAGTCTCTACTGAACAGTCTTTGGGCCATACTGGTCCTTTTAATATTACAGGAAATTTCTTTGCCCTTCTAAGCAAAGCGACACTGGTAGTTTCCTAGAGCTGCGAAACAAAGTACCACAAACTGGATGGCTTAAAACAATGGAAATTTATTCTCTCACAGTTCAGGAGACCAGAAGTCTGTATTCAGGGTGTTGGCAGAGCCATGCTCTCTCCAAAGGCTCTAGGAGAAGATCCTTCCTTGCCTCTTCCAGCTTTGAGTGGCTCTAGACATTCCTTGGTTTGTGGCTGCCTAACTCCAGTCCCTGCCTCTGTTGTCACGGTGTCCTTCCCTCTCTGTTTTTTCTTCTTACAAGGGCACCAGTTATAAAGAGATTTGGGCCCTCTCTAATGATCTCATCTTAACTAATTTCATCTGCAATGACTCTATTTCCAAATAAGGTCACATTCTGAGGTTCCAGGGAATAGCACTTCAACATACCGTTTTGTGGGACACAATTCAAACGATAACAGATATTCAACCTGTTGATGAAAAAGGGTATTATAGAAATTTAAGTTAAATGTATGGTAACTGGAATGAAAATACTCATTAAACTTGTCGTTTTATTTATTTTTTATTGTACTTTTTTATTTTTATTTTATTGTTGTACTTTAAGTGAAAGTTTACAATTCAAGATAGTCTCTTATACAAAAATTTATACATACATTGTTATGTGAACCTAATTGCTCTCCCTATACTGTGACAGCACATTCCTCCTTTTCACCCCTGATTTCCCGTGTCCATTCAACCAACTTGTTTTAGTCATCTAGTGCTGCTACAATAGAAATACCACAAGTGGATGGCTTTAACAAAGACAAATTTATTTCTTCATAGTAAAACAGGCTAAAAGTCCAAATTCAGGGCATCAGCTCTAGGGGAGGGCTTTCTCTCTCTGTTGGCCTTCTCATTGATGTACCCCCAGACTGGGAGCTTCTCCGTGCAGTCACCCCAGGTCCAAAGGACACGCTTTGCTCCTGGTACTGCTTTCTTGGTGGTATGAGGTCCCCCTGTCTCTCTGCTCATTTCTCTCTATCTCAAGAGATTGCCTCAGGGCACAATCCAATCTTGTAGATTGAGTCTTGCCTTACTAACACAACTGCCACCCATTCTCCCTCATTAACATCATAGAGGCAGGATTTACAACATATAGGAAAATCACATAATACCAGGAATCATGGCTCAGCCAAACTGATACATGCATTTTTGGAGGGACATAATTCAATCCATGACACAGCTCTCATCTCACCTCCGGATAGGAGCTGCCCATTTAGTCTCATGTATCTACTTGAGCTAAGAAGCACACTGTTCACAAGTATCATTTTATGTACCATAGTCCAGTCTAATCTTTGTCTGAAGAGTTGGCCTCGGGAATGGTTTTAGTTCTGGGTTGACAGAGAGTCCAGGGACCATGCTTTCTGGGGTCCCTCCAGTCTTGGTCAGACTATTAAGTCTGGTCTTTTTACTAGAGTTTGAATTCTGCACCCCACTTTTTTCCTGCTCCATCAGGGACTCTGTTGTGTTTCGTGTCAGGACGGTCATTGGTGGTAGCCAGGCACCATCTAGTTCTCCTGGTCTCAGGCTGATGAAGTCTCTAATTTATGTGGCCCTTTCTGTCTCTTGGGCTAATATTTTCCTTGTGTCTGTGGTGTTCTTTATTCTCCTTTACTCCAGGTGGGTTGGGACCAATTGATGCATCTTAGATGGCCGCTCACTAGCTTTTAAGACCCCAGTCGCCACTCACCAAAGTGGGATGTAGAATATTTTCTTAATAAATTTGTTATGCCACTTGACATAGATGTCCCCTGAAACTATGGTCCCCAGATGCCTGCCCTTGCTACTCTGTCCCTCAAAGTGTTTGGCTGTACTCAGGAAACTTCTTAGCTTTGGTTTAGTCCTGTTGTGCTGAATTCCCCTGTCGTGTGTGCTGTCCTTCACTTCACCTAAGATAATTCTTGTCTACTATCTAGTTAGTGAATACCCTGCTCCCTCCCCACCCTCAAAACCATCAAAGAATGTTTTCTTCTGTGTTTAAACCTTTTCTTGAGTTCTTATAATAGTGGTGTTATACAATATGTGTCCTTTTGTGACTGACTAAATTCACTCAGCATAATGCCTTCCAGATTTCTCCATGTTATAAAAGATGTTTCATGGATTCGTTGTTGTTCTTCATCATTGCATAGTATTCCATTGTGTGAATATACCATAATTTGTTTATCCATTCGTCCATTGATGAGCACCTAGGTTGTTTCCAACTTTTTGCTATTGTGAACAGTGCTGCAACGAACATGGGTGTGCATATATCTATTCATGTGATGGCTCTTATTTCTCTAGGATATATTCCAAGGAGTGGGATTGCTGGATCGTATGGTACTTCTATTTCTAGCTTTTTAAGGAAGCGCCAAATTGATTTCCAAACTGGAAAAATTTCCATTTTACATTCTCACCAACAGTGTATAAGTATTCCAGTCTCTCCATAACCTCTCCAACGTTTATTATTTTGTGTTTTTTGTATTAATGCTAGCTTTGTTGGGGTAAGATGGTATCTCATTGTAGTTTTGATTTGCATTTCTCTAGTGGCTAATGATTGTGAGCATTTCTTCATGCGTCTGTTAGCCGCCCGAAGGTTTTCTTTGGTGAAGTACCTGTTCATATCCTCTGCCCATTTTTTAATTGG